CTTACATCAAATATTAGATAATCATGATGTTTTATACATGTGTAAAAAAAGAGATGATATCATTACAGACCAAACGCCAATTTAATTCTTTTATTGATGTAATCACTCATATCAATGTTTCTCTATTTTCTATGATTGCATGATAATACAACTAAATAAGTAATTTATACCTGCGAATTTTTTTTTACTGATATTTTCAGTGAATTGTAATTGAAGTCAATAAAGTCAACTCAGACCAATGGCCAATAAATGATCAAATGATGGAGTTTCAAATAAATACGTTCCAAAGCTCAAGGTCATCAGCTTCTACAGTCTATACCATAGAAAGTTTATTTTCTTATCGCTTCTATAGTATCTTTGAGGCTCCCTACCAGCTCTTCCTGTCAATATGAATATCCCATCAGTTAATCCTTTGGCGTCCTTAGCCGCTTCTAGTTTAGCTTGAGCTTGATTTATAAGACGATCATATAATTCCAGCCAGAATTACAATCCTGGTGCGAAGCAACAGTGCAGTTATTAATTAGTAATTTAGCAACAAATACAGAGGTTACGTTAAGTTCGTTAACGCATATAGAAGATGAGAGCGATTTTACATTGTATGATTACAGCTTTGATTTTAGTAAGGTAATAGTGTTATAGTAATATTGACGGAAAAATCTATCATAGAATTTTTTAACAAGTCTAGTAATAGAAAACGTATTGATAATAAGTATTACACGAAATTATTATTTATTGAATATTGGTTAGAGAGAGTAATGAATATAATCAGGAAAACGTTAATTGAAATTGAAATTGACAAATAACAAGATGATCTCTCAAATGAGATGAGAAGGATAAATGTGAGTTTTATGCAATTTTTACATGAAAATTCAAGAATTTTAAACGGGAAAACTAAAGTATGGGAATTAATTCGTGGGATTTTAATACGAATTTGTACAAATCACCTGTTAAATAGGATAGTTATTGAAATAGAAAAAGAGAATAATATAAAAAACAGAGATAAGAGGAAACAAAATGACAGTAGTGAAGGAAGTATAGATATAGACAACGATAAAATAGAAAAAGGATAAAAATTATAATAATTACAAAAGAAAAATTAATAGTAAAATAATAAAAAAAATCAGTAATGCTCGATAAAATGATGAATATAATAGTATATGTATATGTATTTCTTTTATTTAATTATATAATATATATTGTATATACTGTATAAATTTTAATTAATTAAGAGATGCGCTACTAATAAAAAATATATATATATATGATATGAGAAAAGAATTATTTGTAACAATTACCAGACATTTGCCATTTAGAACTTCTGTATAAATAGCTAAATTATAAGAAATTTCTATAACAAACAATTTGAAAATCGAGTACAACTACATAAAAGTTTCGATCCCAAATTTTTCTCGCTAGTCATCTCGCTCTTCGTGCCAACATTCACGTGACTTTTTAATGATAATTATTCTACATATCAGATATAATTGAATAAAAATTTTAATTTCTTTGTAAATAGCGGGCGAGATGACTCTCTGGTTCGCCGGGAGAGGTTAGGTGGTACCTTATATATTTAGTACAGTCTTTTTCTTTGGATAGAATTAGCATCTATTTTTTTTGTATACCCTTCAGTTCTACGTCCATATACGAAAACAGGACCAGGAAAAAAATACCAAAAAGAATTCCTGATTACGAAAATGATGACTAATAACTCTGGAGCATAAATTTACTACGGAAAATCAGTGATCTATGTCTAAGTTCTAACCCTCGTATTTAATCATTTTAAGTATAAGATCATAAAAGGAACTTTTTTTTTATTACAAAAAATATATTTTTGTTTAACCTACAAATAAGTGGTTATATGGTAAAATATAACTATAAATATATACATTAAAACATACAGTGGTATATAGATAATAGGTTAATAGGAATAAGATTTGTTATATGTTAAAGCTAATAACCAAAAATCTTACAACATACAAATCCTTACTGCAAAGTAAAAGCTAAATAATGGAAATGTAATCTAAAAATAAATAATAAAATAGGTTAGAAGACTCGAGTACTCTAAGTAAGCTTTGTAGAAAAGACAGATTCAAGCCCCCATGCCTACTATTAACTGACATTAACGATATATCGTGAGTGATCAAACTCGTGCAGAGGTACTGTCACATTAATAATAAGACATGAGACCCACCACCAAAGGGAAGGGCCCCACATACAGAAGTCTGCGACATAGCTTGAGAATATTATTTTCTCATTTAAGGTAACCAGACTACTAGAAGAGGAGGATAACCGAAGCACTCTAGGTGCACAAATCCCTTATACATCCCAGCTTAGTCATTTCCACTTACCAGAATAATAAATATTCAAGTTTGATGTTCATTTTGAACTTTTCTCTTCAAGACTTTGACCTAAAGGTTGCTTAGGAGTAAGGCTCATATTTTTTTTGATAATATTTGTTTCTAAATAGGGAGTTAATATCTTGACTAGGAGCTGAAAGACTTAAAATGTTTTTATGTTTGTACGTTATAGTAAATATCTAAAGTTTAAGAAAAAGAAGGAATGTTTATAATAAAAAAAAAAAAAAATTTACGCGTTATAATAAATATCTAAAGAAAAAGAAAAAATGGTTATAATAAAAAAAAATTTTAAGAAAAGAAGGAATGTTTATAATAAAAAAAAATTTTACGCGTTATAAATTTTTACGCGTTATACAAATTCCTGTGTAACGGTAACGTTTAGATTGACCTGTATAAATGAAAATGAATTGTGTAATGGGATGGGGGAACCTACTTTCATTTTCACTGCTAATACAAGTTCCGGTTAAAAATTTATTTTTTGCTAATTAACGGAAAATTTGTCTTATTAATCATATTTTATTTTCAATAAAATGAGTTTTTTTTCAGTTCATATAAACCAGGAAATTTTTTATTTTTTTTTAAAAAAAAATATACGTTCGTACAGACAATTTTTTTCTAAAATTTAAAATTTCTTTTTCTTTGATTTTCAAACAAAAAATATCGACCTTGATTGGTTTCTTAAACCAAATATTTTTAATTTTTCCTTTTTTAATAAGCTGAAAATTTTTTTTTATTATTCTCTTTTTTATTCACTTATTAATTATAACTTTTTCAAACTTTTATTCTCAAGATAATTAATAATACTTAAAAAGATGCACACAGTAAATTATATTTAATAAAACATCTAATTTGTTAAGTACGAAAAAGTTCCCGAGCATGTAATAATTTTTTTTTTTTAGCAAGTGTAATGGAAGATAAGATATAAGTTTAGGAACTTCTTACATATTCAGTATATTATAGTACGAAAGGTTCAAATTTTGCAGTCTACTAAAATATTAATTTCATGTGAGGAAAAGAATTTTATTTAATTCGGCAATATTTTGCTCCTTAAAATTTATGAAAAAAATGATTGAACTTGTATAAAATCATTCAAGTCGTCATATGCTACTGCCAAAATCTGATGGTACCTTCATTATTGATGCAAATGAAATTTGGAAGGAATATTTGCCATATCAAAACAACAATGATCATTGAATCGCATTGGTGACATGTATTGGGAATAATAAATTCTATAATTGAAATAAAAAATATTTAAAACATTTACATTCTTTTATATTTAAAATTGGTATCATAATTATAAATAATTTATTATAAATTAATTTTATTGTCTTTTTATTTGCGATTTTACAGCGTCCGTAGTCACGTGTGACCCTGCAAATCTTATTTATTTTATTTTATTTTATGTGAAGTTGGCAAAGAACATATTCGATTAAAAAAAGAACGTTCAACTTAGAACCTGTCATCCATCAGGGCCGAAGCCCAGCCAGACCCTTACTTCTAATTATATAAATCCCAGACCTATCCCATATCACGACCATAGTTATATGGACAAACCAAAAAGTGTGACCCTGCAAAATCAATCCGGCTACCATTTTTTCCGGCTTTAGACGTAATGTCACTCGTCGTTTACGATTATCATACCACCGAGCGAAGTACACGTGGTCATATGATTTAGGTAACTATATGTAATCCTTGAAGCAGTTTCCGACTGATGAATAAGCCAGGCATTTAATTATATCTAATAATCGTTGAAATAATTAACCTATATACCTGTTTCTAAAATAAACGTTATTTTGTAAAAAGAGATGTGCCGATTACATAAATTTTTGTACTACGTATATGTGCAGTTCTATATTGGGCAACCGTGACCCAACCCATGGGGCACAGTCGCAAAAGCAATCGGACTTGACCCTTCTCTTATTGTAACATATATAAGAGTTGGGTTAAGTCAGCACCGCGTGGGTGTTCGCAAAAGTGTTGATCTTGATATAGTCTTCTTGATAGACCTATATGGTGGGCACCATATAAACCGATATTTTTGCGTCACAGTCTCGAGGTTGAGAATTTGTATAACCATTTTGGTATAGTCTCGGATTGACGGATAAATAATTATTCCGACCTATTCACGTTATTTCCGCAGTACGATATACACTATTATTTCTCCCACCGATAATTGCGACCATGGGAATATTTGATAAAAGAGTAACACAAGTTAAAGAAGTAGAACAAAAAGGGAAATGAGTACATATGTGGGCTGGGATTTGTTTTGCAACAAGCAATAGATCATAATACACAGTGAAATTCGATAAACCGGATCTATCGGTTCCACTAAAAATATCCGGTTTATCGGGATATCCGGTTTAGCGAAAAAATTTCGATATATTGAAAATCTATTATATTGAATTTTTAAAAAATTTTCATGCTAATAAAACTAATATACACTATAATTTGATTTTTTCATCTAGTTTTAAGTCATAGAGGTCATGAAAATGAATATAAAATATTTTAAAAGTAATACATAACTTCAGCCGGAATTAAGATTTTTATAATTCCGGCCAAATTTAGGATTTACCGCATCACGTCACTTAAATTTTATTGGTTCCCAGTCACGTTATCCGGTTTATCGAATCATTTTTACTATAGCTGGTTAGAAAATTGATCCGTTATAGCGAATATCGAGCTTTTACTAGTAAACTCCGGTATATCGAACCTATTTTAATATACGTGATTTGGTTCCAGCAAAAAAGTCCGGTTTAGGCGCAAATCCGGTTTATCGAAGATCGAATTTCACTGTGTACCCTGGGAGTTGCGCTCTGAATCCTTAAAAAGAACTCTAAATTTTTCAAACTGAATTTTTTCAACCTTCCAATTGTAATTTACCCGTAGTTATGGAATTGAACACTAAATATCCAGTTGTTCTCTTAATGGGAAAAACAGGCAAGTTTTCGATTTTTTCTTTGTATTTTTCTTACTCATAATTTTAAAAAAACATATCAGGTGCGGGAAAAAGCACTCTTGGAAATTTACTTCTTGGTGCACCACATAAAAAAGGACCTTTTGCTACCGGCTCACGAATGGTAAATGGTTATGTTCTATATATACTGCGACTATTTAAAATTAATTGTATTTAAGAATAAGGAAATGACGAAAATATAGGACTCTATCACACAAGAGTGTAAAGCAGAAACTATGTTAATTGACGACGTACCATATAACATTGTCGACACGCCTGGAATTCTTGACCCTAACCGAGGTACTATTCCTATACTTAATGAAATTTCCAAGACTATCAATAAATGTGCTCATGGGGTTAAGGCTATCCTTATTGTTTCTGGTATGCAAAATCATGAAATAGCTTACTTTTTATTAACTCCGTGGGTTTGTATTTCTAGTTAATCAAAATTTTGGACTTCATAGAAGTCGGAAGGTTTACTGACGAGCAAAAAGATGCTCTAAACCGAATAAGAAATTTCCTAGGAAAAGACGCAACAAATAATATTATATCAGTTCTTTCCCGCGCAGACAAAGATCAGACTGAAGATAGAAGTATAATGCAAAGCGATTGGAATCAATCTTTTCGTTCTTTTATCCAAGGCATTGGAAACCGTTGGGGCATCTCTCCCAATCCTGAAATTTTTCCGGCTGGTGAAGAGACTCATAAAGTACGGTTAGGGGAAATCAAGAATTTAATCAGCAGTATACAAGGAGTTTACACCACTGAGCAACATGAGAAGTGCCAACGAGAACAAGCGGAAGCGAGGCGACGAAAAGAAGAGGATGAAAAAAGAGCAAAGCGGGAACACGATGAGAAATTAAAAGAAGATGCAAGAAGAGAAGCCGAAAGAGCCCATCAACGTGAGTTTAACCAAATGCGACAAGAATATGAAAAACAGCATAGGCAAATATTGGAGAAAATGATTGAGTCGTTGCGTCGAGAAAAAGAAAACGAGCGTCAAGAAAGAGAAAAAGAGCGGCAAGAAGCAAGAGAACATCAAGAAAGAAGACGTCAAGAAGAAAGAGAACGTCAAGAAAGGGAACGTCAAGAAAGAAGACAACAAGAACTTAAAGACGGTATAATGTTTGCAGCGTCTGAAGCGCTTAAAATGGCTTTTTACGCCTTCATATAAGAAAAAAAGTAAATCCATTTGACACGAAATCAACTCGATAATTTCCAAATCATATATTTCTAGTGAAAATCTAAAGTTTAAGAAAAAGAAGGAACGTTTATAATAAAAAAAGTTTACGCGTTATAATAAATATTTAAAGTTTAAAAAATTAAAAGTATTGAAGATTTTTTAATATAAATATTCCGTGGGAAAAGTTGTGAATCAGTTGAGTTTAATATCATATATTATTAGTAAAACTAATGATTGCATGATTTGATCATTTCATATATATGACTATATGAATCTATGTTGACTTAAGCACGTTTCACTTTTTTCGAAATGGAATCCGAATTATAATATCGTCCATAGAAATTAATTATAATAAAGTTTAATGAAATACAGTATACGATTATATTATCATAAGTTATTGATTTTTTTAGAAAAAAAGGCAATATTTTTAAAATATTAAATCTCAATTATAAGTTATGTAAACATGAAAAGTAGAGTATAACCGTTTATTATTTATGTTATATGCATAATTAGACGAATTCAAATTATTGTAGTTTGAAAATTATTCTTTTTTAAACTTTAAATAAAAAATTAATATTATTTATTAATTTATAAAAATAACATATATCATTTTGTTCATTGTCATTTACTGAATCTACCAAGATTAAAGTAAAATCAGGCCAAAATTAGCAAGTGGCTGGTGTAAACCTACTAGTGTTACACTTTCGGTTCAGCCAGAATAAAGTGTAGATTGAACTTAAACGTTAAGAAACAATATGTTGCTTTATTTATTAATGAAAGAACTTATACAATAGAGATAAATAACAATAAATTATTATTGTGATTGTTCCGCCGGGAGATTGAGCTAAAACTTCAGCATCTTCTGGCGGTGGTTGCGGAGGAAGTGAACATCTTTAATCAATGAAATTAACGATAAAATATATAACAAATAATAACAATAAAAACGAAAATATTGCTGCGATCGTATTAAAGCATTCGTCCTTCCTCTTTAACTATCTGAATTTTTTATTTTTAATTTATATCTTACCTATGATCACCACGTGATCGACGATCTTTGAACAGCGTTAAGATCACATGACTCAAATGGATGACATAATGACATTTGTACCCTTATATCTCTTAATTTGTATTCTAATACATTTTGTTATTTTATATTAAATTGATTAAAAACGGCCCAGAGTCGGTTCAGGAACCGTTTCTGATTCTGGATTTGTATATATTTTAACAATTTTTTAAAAAATCAAAAACGAAACCAGTCCACAAATTATCAAAAAATTTCAATTTATTATCACATATTCTACCTACCTAACTAGTTTCCTAGTTTTGTTCCCTATCAATAACATTTTAAAATAAAGTGTGAATTATTATACTTGGTAAAATCGGGTATAAACATCTATAAACATTATCGTCTAAATTATAATTAGAGTTAGGGATCAGTTAAAACACCTCAACTTCGAAATCGAAACTAAGATTTGTTTATTTTAATTATTACTAGAGTGAAATCTTAAAATAGTACAATTATATTGTATATTCCTTCAAAAAAACCAATGACCAGTGATATGCACTGGAAGCTTCCAATGACTTTGAAGGCAAGATTCACATCTTCCAATGCACATGATAATGAAATTTTATTAACCATATTTGGATAATTTGTGAATTTAATAATAACACCCTTTTTTCCTTCATATAGTTAGCAGTAAAATCTTGGCGCGGGTGGATTGTTAGCCTGCAGATCTTTCAAATGAGCCACAGCCACAAATTCAAAGCAGTTTAACTCCGGAGGATCGACAGGTTCGATTCCGAAAATTCCGAAAAATTAACACCGAGACATTACACAATGGCGTTATTAAATATTTAAGCACCGAAATTTTTTTTTTTTTTTTTTTTTTTTTTTAAAAAAAAAAAAAAAAANTTTTTTTTTTTTTTTTTTTTTTTTTTAAAAAAAAATAACAAAACCATAATGTCTTGCCAACTAACAACTGACTGCTTAGATGAAATTTTTGAACATTTAGAGAATGATAAATCAACTTTACATTCATGTTTGTTAGTTAATCGTCTTTGGTGTAAAACTTCTGTAAGAATTTTATGGAGGAATATTTGGCGGTTTAAATATATTGTTTATCGTGAAAAACATCCATTGAAAGTAGCATCATCTATTCTTAGTACATTAGTTGCTTGTCTTCCCAATGAATCAAAAGAGCTCTTATATAAGAATAAAATTTTTATTCAAACACCTACTTCAAAACCACCACTTTTTAATTATGTAAACTTTTGCAAAGTACTTTCAATTTATGAGATTGTTAAATTAGTTGAAAATGTCCTTAGTAATGAACCATCATCATCCGTTAATTCACTAAGTTTAAAAGATAGAAATTGTTTAGTAACAAATGAAATTTTCAAAATGCTTACAAACCAAATTTCTTCCTTGAAAAAATTAACTTACGACTATAATCAATTTATCCCTAAGTTTTCTTTCACTTATTTTCCTGGAGCGAAAGAACTTTCAGAATTACGTTGCAGTTCAGATATTCCTTCTGATTTTTTTTATCAGTTATCACAAATATGTCATAATTTACAAACAATATTTATAGAATTTCGTAATGATAATGTTTCAGATGAGTTAAAAGAATTTATTTCTTTACAGAACAATTTAAAAAATTTAACTTTAATAGCCAATATAAGTAGTTGGGCAAATATTATACCTGCTTTAACAAAACATTCTAATACAATCACAAAATTACATCTTCATGGTAATAATTATAATTTACCATTATCATTTGTCAATTTATTCACAAATTTAGAAGAAATTATGTTTTCATTCGATTATGGAGCAGATTTTGGTGATTTTGAAAATTTACAATTTGCCAATTTTCCTAAATTACAAATTTTAAAATTTCCTAAAAGATATCCAAAACCCGAATATGTAATGAAATTTTTAGAAAATAATGGAAAAAATCTCAAAACATTTTATATATATGGAAGTGATAATGCTTTAAGTTTATCTATTGCTGATTTTTGTCCAAATCTTAGAAGTCTTTTCGTAGGAATTAATTATGAAAAAACAAATATATTAAAAACTATATTAAGTAGTTGTCAATACTTAGAAAGTATTAAAGTTTGGTGTGGAAAAAGTTATTCAGGTGAAGAAAGAAGTTATTTATCTGAAAAGGAAGTATTTGAAACTATTGTAAATTATTCACCAAATAATTTTTGTGAATTAAAAATATATTATAGTTCAAATTCAGACTTTGTATCTCCAGTAGATTTAGAATCATTTTTTATAAGCTGGAAAAATAGAATACCAAAAAAATTACTTAGATTAATAATTAACAAGAATAATAATATTGATGTAAATGAAGTAAACAAAAAAATAGCTGAAAAATATGAAAATTTAGGTATTATTAAATTTAGTATTGAAGCACTTTATGATGATGATGTTTTTTACTTGTTATAATTTCTTACTTAAGAGAATGAACTTTTATTTTACTTTATTTGTTTCTTTTGAGATTTGTTACTATTATAGAAGATATTTCTTTAATATTCATAATAAAGTATTTTCCTATAAACATATACTTGCAAAAGATTAATGCTTATGTTAATTATGATTTATTTAATAATAGGTTATAATGTGTGCTAAAATCTAGAACGAACTTATCTTATATGTTCACTTTCCACTATTATAATTACCAAAATTTTGTTGAAATTTATTAAAATTACATTCTTTACACCAATAAGACCCTATTCTTGGTTGGTTACATTCAGAGTATAGCCCAAAAAGTTGTGCGGGTATTAGGATTTCATTCGGAATATCAGCAATATTTTCAAATAATTTTGGATTTTGGAATATTAAAACTACTATATGAAACCAAGTTTTTTGAGATAGTCCAAAAATCAATATTAGTTGCAATTCCATATTGATAACAATGAGCTAAATTATTTATTCCATATGCATTTCCTAAATCTCCCACCTTTTGATATAATTCAAATGCTTTTTTTCATCAATATCAGTTCCAAATTTTATTTGTTTCCGCATCAAAGACGTTAGAAAACTTGGTTCCCTAATATTATGTAATTATTTTCTTTCTACTTTTTATTAAAGATTGTCCAAATATATTGCTAAATTCCTTTCTTTTATTTTACAGTTATTACTATGCAGACGCTGATAAACTCATCAACGTTAATTCGTGAATATTAATATTATTAAATGTCAATCAATCCGATCATGTGTCATTTTTTCATGTGACAAATTTTTTCTTTTTTGTTGAATATCCAGGAAAAAAAAATTCATATCATTTGGCAAAATATATAAAGCCAAAAATTTTACGCATTCAAGAAGGAATGGTTGAAAGTGCTAAATATTGAAAATTACACTTCGCTTTGTTATTTGATAAAATTATAACTGATAAATGATAATATTGTGTATGTTGATTTTTTTTTAAAAAAAGAGAATATATATATTTTCTTATTTTTCATTTATTGACTGTTGACATTACAAGTATTTGGCGCTTATATACTTATATATCACTAGGAAACGGAATTCCGGAGGATAAAATAAAATTTGCGATTTCATTGGCCGAGGATCACGTGAGGCAGGCACGTGATAAATCATTTTTCATAGTCTTTCGCTAAAAGAGTATGTGTTTATGGCAACACGACTTCCGAGGCCTGTGACAAGCTAGTCATCCTTGAGATAACCAGGTATTATTTTGAGTTTCATTTAGACGAGTCGAATATTATTGGCATTTTCGCGAATATAATAACATTATCAATTTATCATTTAAGTTACATTATAGATTTATATAAAAAATGTATAAAACATATTTTTATGAGTTTTGTACTTAATTCTGGAGTAAATCCGTACGCGGAGATAAAAATTTATAAGTTTGTACGAAGAGGCAATTTTTATGGTAAATCCGTACAAGGTAAATCTTTGTTCCGTACTCCAGACTTCGATCAATTTTTATCTACACAATAAAAACCGCGGAACTTCGACACTAAATTATTAAATCCGTACAACAAGTTTTCTATCAGTGTATTCAAGGGTCCTATTTTTACCTAATGAAAATTTTTATATGAGCATATATTATTGAAATTTAATAGACGCATCTTACAAATTATTTTTTTTACAAATTAATATTTATTATTCAATTTTTTTTTTTTGTTCATTAAAATGATAACAAAGTTTTATAGGATTTTGTTTTTTTTTCGAATATATAACTGATTTAAAAAAAAAAGGTGTGACCAGACGCAGATATTTTGTCTTTTGTTTAATCGAACTCCGAAATAAATAAAAAATTCAGACTTATTATAATTATCCCTAAATTATTGTTTTAATTTAGACAAAGTTTAAAAAAACTCTGTAGTGAAACTCATTCCAATGTGAAAATAAAAACCCATAGAAGATTGGAAGATATCATCTTTTTAATTTTTTTTATTATAATTAAAATAAAAATAGAAATAACGAATTTTTAAAAAAATAAATAAATGGTAATTATTATGCACTTTACTAAATTAATCGTTTGTAGTAATTTCATAGTAATTATGAATTATCAATTTACGTTTATTCATTTTACATTTTACCATACTTTAATTGGAAATCACCTGATAGAAATCAGATGACCAAATAAGGGAGAATTTATAAAACGTGGCACCTCCGGAAAGAGGAAGATATTGATTATGAATCTGGAAACGATTCTCATAAAAAGATGGCGACGTATTAGTCGTATTACGTTAATCATTTTTTTACCTTACTATCCATGGAGAAGTTGGCTGCGGAATGCGGATCGTGCATAAAGCTTGAAGCTTAAAGCATTATTCTAAAAAATAGGCTTAAGCTTATGCTTAAACATATAAAATGCCTTAGTATATTATACTACAATTAAAGTTATACATATGACTTTTTGGCATTTTTTTTCCCAAGCTATTGTTACCGATATTGACGGTAATTAAGGGACGTGTTGAGGATAACTTATATCGTATAGACACACGAATACCAACGGGATTCTTACTCAATACTACCTTTCCTGGTATTTCCGGTATTGTTCGTTAAGAATCGTCAAGGTAAACAACTATATTATACGATTAGTAATAATACGCGATATATATATAAGACAAATCTTATATGAATATGTATAGAAACAACGTATAATAACCACAATGTAACGATTTTATTAAATAGAAGGAGAACTTTCGGTTTACAACAAAGCGATAAGGGTGATAGGGATCTATCTCAATCTCAAAGATATCTATAAAGGTGACTATGTAATATGTATATCTACTCCTATCATGGAGTTGGCAGAGACATATTTATATCTAATTTTATCTTACTGCCATCTCTTTTTCTGACATCAAGGGCGGAATCTAATCTATTGATATCTAATTGTTAATGTTTCATCACAATATTACAATAGTGATAGCTTTTATTGTAAGCCACTTTATAATAGAATTAATAGAATACAAATGATAAATTTTGGACAATTAATACTATTGAATTAATTTCCGCACAATAACTTCTAATAAAATTGTATACATATAAATAATACAAATAAAGAAAATAAATAAATATATAAATATAAATAATAATAAATTGAATAAATATAATAATACTGTATATGTAAATTTATCATATAAAACCAATATCTTCAGCAGCTTATGTATCGGCGTAAATCGGCACGTAATCGACATGTACACAAATGTTTATTTTATTTTATTTTAAGGCAAGCCAGGAGAATACATTGATAATATTTAAAACTAATTAAAAAATTATAAAAAAACACAATGTAGAATCGTCGCTCAATAAATCGAGCCCTGACTAGAATTATATATAAAAAAAACTATCTTAAAACCCGGCCGAATAAAGATAGGAAGTGAATGATAATTTTCTTTGGTGTTCAACGACATGTACACAAATGTATTGAATCACCATACAATATCGGAAATCACGTGTACAAGAAATCGCGTAACACTATTAATTATTTGCTCGCCTACTAAGGATAATCATTTCCTGTATAAAAACATTATACAATTATTCAATTATACAATAAACTTTTATGATGATCCCGGTTAAATCCGGTAATAACCGACCATATTTCATCCTTTTTTAACTCACCCAGTAAATTTGTGACAAAATATTCGTATCACTATTAAAATTTTTATAAATATACATAAAAAATTTTCTTTTCGATACCAAAACTTTTGATTAATCGAAATTAAAAATGTCCGAAAAAAACGATTTAAATGAAAATATGTTAAGCGAAAAAGAAAAGGCCCTTGCCGGACTTCCATATTTAGCATATTCTGAAGAATTAATAAATGATCGGCTTAAAGCTAGAGAACTACTTTATAAATTTAATAATTCTAAACCAGTTTCTGTTAATACTGATGAATATCGTGAAAGAAATGACATTATTCGGCAATTATTTGGTAGTGTTGGTAAGAGTGCTGAAGTCGAACCACCATTCTATTGTGACTATGTAAGTTTTATCATATTCAATCAACTACAATATTTATGACAAATAAGATAGTTAATATTTATTCTTAATATATTAGGGATATAATATTCACGTTGGGGATAATTTTTATTGTAATTTTAACTGTGCTATATTGGATTGTAATAAAGTTGAAATTGGAGATCGTGTTATGTTTGGCCCAAATGTTTCACTTTACCCTGCAACTCATCCTATACAACCTGAAGAAAGAGCAAAAGGTGCTGAATTTGCATTACCCATAAAGGTATTGGCTTTTCCCATAAGAGTATTAACCATAATAAAAATTACTATGATGATTTTTAAACAAATTTGATTTTTTATATTAGATTGGAAATGATGTATGGATTGGTGGTAGCGCTACTATTTGTCCTGGAATTACCATCGGGGATGGGGTACGTGTTGATATTTTCCTTTAGATATTGACGTAATATTTTAATTACTTCATTTAATTTTTAATTCTTTATTTTGATTTATACGGAGATTAGGTAACTGTTGGTGCAGGATCCGTGGTATGTTTAAATATTGAAATGAATCAATTTTTTTATTAATGAAATTAATGAAATTTAATCCTTTTTTTAAGGTTACAAAAGATGTTCCGCCTTATGTAGTTGTCGCTGGTAACCCTGCTAAAATCATCAAGCATTTAGAAAGAAAAACGATAGCAAATTGAATTTAAATCTTATTGATAAAAAAGAATTTTATTACATTAAAATTATTATTTATTCTCAAATTGGTTCATATTATTTATAATTAATAAAATATAATTATCAATACAGTATATAAAGTTTCTGTGTATTTGTGCACAAAATGAAATGAAAAATATTATTATCCATAAAATGTGTGAAACGTGACGATTTAATAAAGTATATTTTTCGAATGAGAAATGTTAAAAAAAATAAAAAAATATAAAGACAATAAAGTAAAATAAAATGTTTAATTTACTTTAGAGATTGAGCGAAAGAAACTTACATGTTTGAAATGCGCAGTATGATAATTATAATTTTAGTCACGTGTCCTAGTATCTTGTTACAAAATTTGTGCAAATCTTATTCCTTACCCACATATATATAATCAATCAGAGACCTCAAGACTATTTCACTTTTTAAAAGATCGTTAACGGATTTATCCATGCAAAGTATTGACACATACCATAATCTCTGTTAGATTTGCATGAGGGAGATATACACCTTAATTCCAAGAGACTCCATGAATCCTCACACGAATATCTAATAAATCAAGCGGAGTTAATTTAGTGATGAACAAAATAAAACTCGCAATAATAAAACTCGCAGTAATGTAATTTTGGATTGATGTATTGTATTTGGCGGATGAATAACAATTTGTCCTGATCAATTTGATCAATTGATATCACCAGATTCAAATCATTAAAATTGATCAATAACCAAAGGCTTAATGATAATGAATCATTCTGATGTAATTTAATAAATGAAGTTTCTTTTGTATATATATATCTATTTTCGCATATTTCTTAACTATCCTTTACTTTCATATCCTTTACTTTCGTATCATGTCTATTGCTTTGAATTTAGACTCTTTTTTTACAGGAACCACAGAAACCGTTACCAATAATTTCAACTTCGATACAGGATCCATTACTGAGGAGGATACAACAGGTAATTTCATTTTCAGCTGAAAAATTTAAAATTTCATGTGAATGAAACAGAAGTTTCCAACACAATAAATGCATCTAGAAAAGATTACTGAACAAGCGCAGAAGTTTGGGTTTAGTCATAAGAAGTTTCTCAACTGTATGTCATCCATCTCAAAGGAATTTTTATTAACTCAGACACTTGAATACTGGCTTCTCACTTACATGTCTGAAACAGCAACAGACTCAACAGACTCCTGGAATGAAGACTACTCGCCAGATGCTTGGTTAATAGAATGCTTTTCTCTAAAAACTGCCAATTTCATTGTTACCAGAGTATCTGAAGAATATCTCAAAGCACAAACACCCAAATACTGGATTGATTGGGCCATTTATCAATTTACTAATCAAGCTTCAAAGGAGTTTATCTCTTTTATTGAAAATGCGAGTGAGAACAAAGTTCATGTTTTTAAAAACATACCAATAATTGTTAAATCCATTGGTGACACTAGTGATAAAGGTAATGAACTTAATCTCCTTCTTGAAACAGATCTTAATCAATTTAATAATAATAAAAGCACCTGGTATTACCACACCACGGACTTGATTAGTGCTGAAAGTATTTTTACTGATGGCATCAGTTTGGTAGCAGGTCAGAAGAAACAAGATTTTGGTGGTCGAACTTCATCATTCTACCTCAATGATGAATTTAAATGGGCAATTGATTTCAGACTACAAAAGTTTATTAGTTCACCAAGTGCAATAATTATTTATGATATTCCTGAAACTTTATTAAAAGAAAAAGAATATAAACACCTTGATCTTAATAATGGTAATAAAAGGTGGAAGGATGTAGTGCATAAATCTTGTAACTATTGTGCATGTGAAACTGATGAATATGGTTCTGTTTATGGCCCTCAAACCACAAATTATGTTAGAATGATTAAGAATAAATATGAGACACCTAAGGTTGCTTGTCTAAACCTCTTCAAAATCCTACGATTAGTTTCGTCAAAATTTTACTATAGATTTATTATAGTTTCGGCAGAGTTTCGGCAGTTTCGGCATTTATAATAAGTTTCGGCCTGTCTCTTATACACATCTAGATGTGTATAAGAGACAGCTANAGTTTCGCCAGTTTTTTAATATAACTTTAATATAGTTTTGGCAGAATTTCGCTTTTCGGCAAAACGCCATCTTGCCTAAACCCCTAGGTTTCGGCAAGCAACCTTAGAGACACCCATATGTCCAATTACTTTTTTTAAGTCTATGGCTTAGGAATTTATCAAAAATTTTTTTTTACTTTAACTTCAGAACATATTATTAAACCAGTCATAAATATACAATGTCCAGATAAATTCACAAGTATTTTAATAGTTAATTCGCCAATTAGAGTATTCTTGGATTTCTGGAAGAATGTGATGAGAAGCCATTTCAAAAAAAAATTGATAAATATATTAAAGATCTCAAGATTATTGCTAACTACGAATAGGAAAAAGACAAGAATAGGCAAATCTTCTTCTTTCAAGATATAGGAAGGCAAGTAATACTTTTTTTATTAGAAATGTATATGGAAAATAATGGTATGTTTGGCAGAGATCTGCTCGATTACTTGTCATTCAAAACTGTTCACCGAGCCATAAAACCAGTGTTGAGCCACAAATAACCTGCTCGGTTGTCTGATATATAAAGGCTGTTCACCAATCCAGCATTAGACCTACTAGGTACAGATGACCTGCTCAGTTGTCTGATGTTCTGGTGGGTTGGAAATTGGAAACGTGTTAGTTGAAAATATTACTAATTTCAAATCTTATTAGGATTCTCAACCTAATTTTAAATTAGCGAAAAAATGGGAAAAGGAGCACTTGCGCAAGCAGATTCACTATCACTGGCCAACAATTACAGATATCAATGGAAATATGACCAGAAATATAGGAACAATAACTGGAGGATCATTTATTGTTAGATCAAAGAGAAAACAGGAAGAGGTACAGAAATGCTTTTTGCTGAAAATTTTGAGAATCGATAAATCTGATGATAAAAGAAATCTTTTGTATTTAGTCAGATGATGATTTTAACCGCTAAAAACTCCTCAACAAAGAAATTATCTCTTCTGAAAAAGATTAGAATATTTATGTTGCCTTGGTTTAATTAGATTCAATAATTTTTAATTCATGAATCGAACTCAAATCTGAAATTTTAATTCAAACTCAAATCCAAATCGAGCTTGATTCGATTCAATCATATAACATTACACAAAATTCCAAAAAAAGAAAAATTTTATTTTCCACAAAAATGGAAAAAAGTATCACACAAGTTTTCAAAAAAGGAAATTTATTTTGCTGATCCTCAGAATTTACTTTTTGGACGATACCTATTTCACAAAAATAATTTTTTGTGAAATGTGCAGATATCCTTTTTAGATCTTGTATAATATTCAACCTAAAAATGAAAGATCAGTGATTCATTAAATTGAATCAAATTCCGAATCCCGAATCTAGCCTGATTTGATTTAATCAAATCCAAATCTAACCTGATTCAATTCAATTCAATTCATGAATAATACTACTTTGTGCAGTATCATACCAGCAATAACACAGAAAAAATTAAGCAATAAAGATATGATTAAAATATCTTCGTTTATTGAATTTGTTATCAGATTTTCTTCTAATAAAGTTATTCTTAAATCAGATTTGAGTCAGTTATATTTTCTACTACTTCAAGATAAAGCATTTTAATTTATATTATAGAATTAATTTAAAATTTATCCTAGATTATTTTTTAATTTTAATCACCCATGAAATTCACACCTCTTGATTTGTGTTACATTTCACAATTTTTTATTTATTTATTTATCACGTTATGATTATAAAAAAAAAAATTTTCTTTTTTAAAAAAATTTTAAAAGCTTTGTTATTAACACATATTAAACACTTTAACTCAGTTTTTTTACTTATATCTTGTGAAACTACAGGTATTTTATACAATTCATAGTATATTTGTTTCTAAATTTCTTTTGTATTATATTTTCTAATTTCAGAACATAATTTCGCCACTTTAGTCAAATGAAATCAACTTTCTTTATTAAGTGAAAAAGTTGTTCAACAATATTAAAACTACTTATATCTTAAATATCATAAGCATAGGTATAATACTTGTGAAGATATTCATGTTTACATAATGGCAATAATTTTTGAATTTTGAATTTTTTGTTTATTAAATTCAGAGTGTAATTTCACTACTTTACTCAAATGAAATCGATTTTCTTTATTAAGTGAAAATTGTTCAGAAAGGTGGAAAACATTTACATTTTAATTCATGAGTGTAGGTATAATGCTTGCAAAAATATCCATATTTTTCATAATAGTACTAATTTTTGAATTTTTCTTGCTAAAGAATATATTTCACCATTTTGGTCAACATTTTAGCTATCAAATTTTATAATGCTTTAATAAAGTAAAGAGGAAAATTTGCAATTTATTGACAATTTTATTTATTAAAAAATCAGTTTTACTTTATATGTATAAAATTTAAAAATCATATAACCAGGTGATTTTCACCTGAAGTAAGCATTAAAATCACCCCTATTTTATAATATTTAAAAAAAAATTTTGAGCAAATTAATCCAAAAGTTATTTAAAGAATAATTATTTTGCAAAAATAATTTTTTGAAATATATTAGTAATTTTCATTAATTCAAAAATAAATCATAAATTAATTTAATAAAATATGTTGATATTTTTTTTTTATTTTACAAAAAATAAACTTTTAAATTTTAGAAATAATTTTGTAAATCCAGTATAAGAAAATTCTTTTTAATATTAATTTAAAAAAATATATTATTATTTTTTTATTTATAAAAAATAATAAATCTGTAAAAAATAAAAAACTTTTTCTACTACTGTTCATATTTATAATTTTAAAATATTTAAAATTTTATTTTTTATTTTTACTTAAAATAAACTTCTATTTTTTTTTAAATATATAAAACTTTAAGTTTTAGCTTAATAATGTTATTCATATCTGCCACCTGTTAATAAACAATATAAAATATTACAACTTTATTTATTATATTTAATTTAGATTTTAATATTCAACTTTATTAATTTATAATTTCAAATTGTGAGAGTTTTTTTACTCTCATAATATCAATAAACTATTAATTAATAATAATTAATATGGCATATTTAGTGATGATATTAGACATTGTCCAATTCCCACAATTGGATTATTAGACATTGGACTAATTGGACATAGTCCACTCCATGTCTAAATGTCCAAAGTTCAAAAATGGGACAATCTATTTTGGCCCGCATTAAGTATTAATTTTGGCCAGAATTATACTAATACAATTTTCAAAATTGTAATAATATGACGTAATTTGCTGAGATTTTTGCAGATCTAAAAATCTAGATCAGATTTAAATACTAAACTACATTTGGATTGATAATCATTAATTACTGATCATTAACTTTATTTTTCAATATGGTTCGAAAAGGTCATTTTTTGACACCTTATGTAGTTGTTCTTCATTCTGTAAAAAAAGCAAATTCATGCAATAAATATGCTGTATGCCGAGCTTGTATTAGTGCTGTTGGAAAAGATGAAGCATACAAAAATAAATTTACCAATACTAAAAGAGAATGTACATGTCATTTTTGAAGTTATCCAAATTTTGCTAAAAAATATACAGTTCAAGAAATTAAAGATTTACTTGATAAAGCTGAAAGAGATGGAGCAAAATAGGACCCCGAAATATATATAGAAAGGTCAGAGGCAGCCAAAAAATTTTTACTAATAGCTGTACGCATTCTTTCAGGGCCGGAATTATGATAATTTTGGCGAGTGACCAAAAAAGGAAATATCTTTTCACCGGGAATTATCTAAAAAAGGAAAGATTTTCATGTTTTTTTTGGCTGGTTGTACGCAAACTCGGATCTGACCTTTTTATGTATATTTCGGGGTCCTAGCAAAATCTACATCTAAAAAAAAGAATATTAAACCTCCAAAAAAGAGATCACATAGAACTAGTATTTCAAATGATTCTTCAAGTGAAAATGAATCTGATGCTTCTTATCATTCAATTGCTAATGAATTTTCAGATAATGAAATTTCTCAAGATATTAATACTTTAGATAATTATATTTTTCGTCCTTTAACATCTGCACAAAAACATAAATTTGAACAACTTTTATTAGAAGTTACAGTTTCATGTGGATTTGCATTTCAATAGGTAGAAAATGATGCGGTAAACCATTTATTTCACTGGCTTAATCCTATGATTACATTACTATCAAAACTAGTATTAGGTGGGCAAATTCTTAAAGAAACAACAAGTAATGAATCAGAAATATTACTTAAAAATGCAAAAAGGGATCAATTTGATGTGACTCTTACTTTTGATGGTTGGAAATAAGGTTGCTTGTCTAAACCTCTTCAAAATCCTACGATTAGTTTCGTTAAAATTTTACTATAGATTTATTATAGTTTCAACAGAGTTTCGGCAGTTTCAGCATTTATAATAAGTTTCAGCAGTTTCGCCTTTCTTCAAAGTTTCACCAGTTTTTTAATATAACTTTAATATAGTTTTGGCAGAATTTCACTTTTCAGCGAAATGCCATCTTGCCTAAACCCCTAGGTTTCGGCAAGCAACCTTAGTTGGAAAAATGTTGCGCATCAACATCTTTTAGGTACTATTTTAATAACATCACTTGGTGATATTGTGATTTGGAAAGCAGCAGATTGTGAAGCAAAGTGGATTACTGGAAATGAGATTGTACATATTACAGAAAAATTTTTACTGAACTTAAACAACAGAATATTAAAGTAAACAGCCTAATAACAGATTCAGCTTCTGAGAATACTGCAGCACAGTTAGTTAAATTTTTTTTATTTAATAATTTAAATATATATTTACATTTGTATTTTATTTTATTGTAGCAAGCGTCTACAACTTCTATATAGAAAAAAACTATTTTTACCATGTTATGCATATCAGCTTAATCTTTGTGTAGGAGATATTTTTAAAGAATTGAGTTTTTTGTCTACTCTAGCTGGGCAAGCAGTTGGAATTACTTCATTTTTTAGTCAGGCAAAATTTTGGATTGGGAAATTACGTGAAGAACAGGCTGCTACTTATAAAAACAAATTTTATGCATTGATTGTTCCAAATGAAATGTGATAGAATTCGCATTATTACTGTTTTTCAAGCTTGTTAAAATCAAAGGCCGCCCTTAAGGTATTATTAATTAATAATTATCCTACATAGTAATATTTTAAGCTTTAACTTTTTTTTTCATATTTTTTTTTAGAATTTAGCTACTAAAATTGAAGAGTAAGAATCTAATGATCTTTACGATTTTCCTGATGAATATCTTAATTGTATTTCAGATAATGCATGGTGGAACAATATTAAGCAATTGGAAACTATTATGCTTCCTTACTGTGCTGCATTAAATCAATTACAACGATATAATTCTCAACTTCATGAAGTACTCCATAGTTTTGGAAATATAGTAAATATTTTGCAATCACTTTCCAATTATACATTAAGCAAGCAACTTTTGCAAAAATTAGAAAAAAGATGGGCAGATTGGGAGCAGCCACTTTTACTTCTTTCATTTTTGCTTCATTCTGGATATCGTACAAAAAAATTTAATCCAGCAATTGAAAGTCTTGGATTTTTTCATCTTGGTTGGTGGATTACATATTACTACTGTGCTTGGTTTAATGAAGATCCAGAAGTTTTATTAGTTGAATTAGAAGCATATCGTCAAGAAAAATATCCTTATAATAATGCAACTACACGTTAATTTCGTAATAATATTCTTGGATTTTGGAATTATGTTCGTGGTCATTCTAAAGAACTTTACCGAGTTGCAGCAAGAATTTTTTCTATTGCAGTAACTACAGCATCTTTAAAGCAGTTTTTTTCAACAATGGGATGGTTACACTCTAAAAGATGAAATCGTTTAAGTGTAAGAATCTTTATAAAATTTTATTTTATTTTATTTTTATTTTTAATAATTATGTTGTTTAGTCCGAAAAAGTTCTAGGTATGGCACAAATTTGAGCATCTATGTTACGCAAGTTAAAACTTAAATGAATTGATGAAGAAGCTCAAAAATTTAAAAATATTAATATCGCTACATCTTTATCAACTACAGAAGATAACAATATATTGGAACAAGAAACTGATAATATATCTGATAATGGATTTTCTGATACAGATTGCGATAATACTGCAAGTTTAAATATTAATAAAAATATACAAAATGTTGATGAATGGCATAGCATGATATTTAAATGGCTTAGTATGTTGGATGATGAACAAGGTAATGAAGTGAAGATATTAGAAGAATTGAAAAATGATAGTAATAATAGCAATGATAACAAAATGGAATATGATATTAACATAATGAATATTTCAAATTTACCACATCCAGCAAGAGATAAAAATGCTAAATGGAGACTTCAGGATATTTTTACTGAAAATTTGGGCGAACCTAGTTATTTGTCTGATTTTAAATAATCAATAGTTGACTTGTAGTTATTTTTCTGCTGATAAATTTGAATTCAATAAAAATACTTTAATAAAAATATAATGTTTTAATAATTATTCTCTTTTTATAAGTCAAATTAAAAAATAAAATTTTGATATAATCTAAATTAAAGCTGCCGCCCGAAATTATTTCCTAATTCCGAAATCCCGAAACCTTTCCGAAACTCCCGAAATTGTCCGAAACTTCTGATTGGCCTATTATAAAATCACATGACTTTATAAATTTGCTAAAATTTTATCTGTATTCTAATTCCATAATTCTGGCTCCGTAGCGATCTTCCTGACACGTGTAGCTTCGTTTTAAGCCTATGTTCACTTTGTGTAACATTAGTGCATAAAGACGCATAATTTCCTTATATAGTATATAAGTTACACAAAGCGAACATAGGCTTAAATCAAAGCTACACGTGTCAGGAAGATCGCTACGGAGCCAGAATTATGGTATTAGAATACAGTTGTAATTTTGGTAAAAATTTTAATTTTGGTCACGTGATATTATAACAGCCAATCAGAATTTCGGAATAGTTTCGGCATTTCGGAATTAAGTATTTTTCCTAAATTAATTTTACCATTTTGGTTTCGGCAAATGGTAAAATTCCCTAATTTCGGGCGGCAGCTTTAATCTAAATGTCCAATTGATCATTTGGACTTAGATTGGACAATGTCCAATAGTCCAAATGTCCAAATGTCCAAATGTCCAATAGTCCAAATAATCATCACTGGGCATATTTATCTATAAGAAATGGTAAAAGAATCAAAATAATTAGGAATATATATTAAAATTATATTTTATTAACCTTTATTTAATATTTTTACAAATTAATAATTTTGTGTTAATATTTGTTTTTTTATCTTAAAAGATGGTAGTGAATCTAAAATCTAAATCTAGAATCAAAGATATTTATATAAAATTATACTGTAGTTCTATTAAACTATTTTATTTCAAGTTATTTATTGTAATTAATTTATCATAACTAATTATAATTTATAAATATTCTACATTTCTTACCATTTTTTTCTTATAATTTTTTTTTTATTACTTAAATTTTTATTAATTTTATTATTTCTTCCAAACTATAAATATCTAATTTAAATATAAATGACTATAAATAAATATAAATAAACTATAAATAAATAGCTAGAACTATAAATAAATTCTTATGTAATAATAAGTTATTATATTCTTCAATTATCTCAATTAAATATTCTTTTTTTAGTTAAATGCTTATCTATATTCCATTTGGTATATTATTTATTTTTTGATTAAATATTTATCCAATTATATGATTACTGAATATTTATAATTATAATAGAAAATCTTTTATTGGATATTTGGTTTATTTTTTACTTTTCTTATATTTATAAGTTATCATTTATTTTTGTAAGATTTCTGGATTTTCTTCAAGATAAAATGACTTAAAGAGGTATTTAAAACAAGCAAAATAGTATTTATTTTAAAATGTAAAAATCTTACTTTTAACAAATACTGATAAGTAAAATAATAATACCTGATAAAATAAAAAAAATTTATAATAAATTTTTTATTAATAAACAGTTTGTTTGCTTTTTGCATAATAATAATCTAGTAAATAGTTTTTGTATAAATTTGTATCAAATAGGCTCATCTATATATAATTGGCTCTAGATTGGATTAAATTTGGATTATTTTTTGTATAAACTTGAGCTAATTTTGAGCTAATGAGTCTTTTTGATATAAATTTATACAAAAACTATTTACTACATCAGGAATTTAAACACGGCATAATGTTCCGTAAGTTTACAGATTTTCGTAAAATTACGTACATTTATGGCATAATGTTCCGTAGATTTACAGATTTCCGTAAATCTACGTAATTTTACGATCGAAATATTCCGAAATAATACAGGATCGTAAATATACCGAAGCATTACGATCGAAATATTCCGAAATAATACGTGATCATAAATGTTCCGAAGCATTACGGTCAAAATATTCCGTAATAATACGTGATCGCAAATGTTTCGAAACATTACGATCAAAATATTCTGTAATAATACGTGATCGTAAATGTTCTGAAGCATTACGATCGAAATATTCCGTAATAATACGTGATCGAAAATGTTCCGAAGCATTACGATCGAAATATTCTGTAATAATAC